TTTGCTTTTGCTGGATGTACGTAACGTGGAAACAAGCGCGTACAAATGTATACCTATCGAGAACACAGAGAGCAGAGAGAAAGGGATCGAACGGGGCATACATGGAGAGTAAATCTCGGATTCTCCTGTCTGGTCTGGCGCTGAACGCGATAACCCCTAATCAAGCATCCTTCGCTTGCCGATGGCAAATCAGTCAGGGTCTACCCCATGCACGTATATATATGTATATATATGTATATAGCCATGACTGTTCTCCTCTCCGGCGATCGATCTCTCGCCGGTTCCCTCTCATACTCTCTTCTCGCTCGCGAGGAGCACCGAGGCTGCGTTTCCCTGGAGTGGTAGCCCCGAAGAATCGATACCTGATAGAGCTTTCGCTCTCTTGCTCTCTACGGAAGTACATACGTGCATCCTGCGCATAAGTGTATGGGTGCACATGTGTTGGTCGTTAAATTGACAGTGAAGAGCGATGATGTTGGGAACGACGCGGTTTTTGACCTTTTGGCTCGTCCGCTCGTCGCTTTCTGTTTTTCCTTCTCGCGTCGTGCTTTTGCTTGTCAGTCGTGTAGGTACATACTTCGTGACGTAGGTACATGCAGCTTTTGGGGCTCTTACGTCTTGCATGTATAATAGATGCTCGTACATACGCGACTTTTTCTCTTCTTAACGTACAATGCTCGAAAGATTTCACCATCGCGTGAAAGCTGGTGTCGCGGGGGTGAACGGTCTGACGAAGAGGTGATGCAGGATGGAAGGCGTTTGATCGTGTCAGACAGCGAAAGAGGCCTTTTAAAGAAAAAACGCAGTTCACTATCGTCAAACTTATAGGAAAGGATGCATGGAAAATTTATAGTGTTCATCACGTACAAATGGTAGTGAAATGGACTTGCAAGTTTAGATATGAGATTTTCGAGGTTTGATTTTTTATTTCTCCTGTAAGTATAAAGAGATAAGTGCAAACGATTTTGTACAATGATAAAACCTGATATAAATATAGCTTGAAAAGAAAATGGTAATAATAATAGTAAGAATAAACTTCCAAATAATCAGACAGTAAAATTTGGGATTCTAACATAGTAGAAGATGCCCCGAAAAATTTATCTAAATTACAAGTACGAATAAACTGTAGAGCTGATGATAGTAATAAATTTGTGTGCCTAGCTTGCTATTTTCAATATTTTATTGAAATAAATACAAATATAAAACTAAAAATTAGTATTTAACATCTAAGTAGTTTAATTGGACTCTAGAAATTGATTACAAAAAGCAATTTTATATTAAAAGATACGTTGAAACAGTTTAAAAAAACCACAACCCATTTAATGACTCAAACACTAGTACTTACTTTAAAAAAATACTATAACAACAATTTTTTTTTTTTATTATTGAAATTAAAGTTGTTACATAACATTGTACTAAAAAATTCCGAAAAATCAGACATACCCTAAATTCAATATTTATACAAGTAACTTATCCGTAGGATTATAGTATTCATTATTCCAACAAAAACAAAGTAATAAAAACCTGTCTCTCCAAATGAATGTAAGAGGCGCAATTAAGCGAACAAATCATGTATATATGAACTAATACCCCATTTTTTCCATCTTGTACCTTCTTATATACGCGCTTGAAAGTAAGAAAGAGTACAGAAGAAAATAAGTAATAAAGAGAAGAAAATCCCACGACGGGGTTCCACTGCTTTTTATATACAGTGTCTTACGTATGGAGTATTGGTATACATTGTAAACATAAATATTAAGGTTTTTAGTTCAGGATGATTTGAAGTCTAGCAATAATTATGAATTAATGTTAATTTAACCATAGTGTAATAATCATATTTCTGATGTTGATGGTTGATATTATGATTAATTTTATATTATATTTTGTTGTTTATTTATTTTTTAATTTATTTGTTGGCTAATTAATTGATTTTATATTACACAAGAGTATTCATCTCTGTAATCGTTGAACAAAAAAAAAAAAAAAAAAAAGTAGAGGTTGATATTGAATCGAATGTCACTGAGTTTTATTGAAGCCACAAGTATATTTTTTCATCATTCTAACTACACACTTGTTTTCCAAAAATTTAAAATGTTCAAGTAAAAACCAAAAACTTGAGATACTTGTTAGCTTGTTTAATTTGAGCAAAACCTTAAATATAATTTGATTCTTTCTGTTCATTGTCAAATTAAAAGAGTCAACCACTGATAGATCAACTAATATATAGCCAAAGATGTTTATACTGTTTTAAAAACCATTTATTCAGATCATTTCAAAAAATTTACTCGAGAAACAATTGTAAGAATAAAACGAAGATGAATAAAAATAAATAATTTTATGTGGTGGAAAATAATGATTATTATAATTAATAAGAATAATTACAAAATTGTTATGATTTTTATAATCTCTAATAAAATAAAAATCATAAAAGCAATAAATAGAATTAAAATTATTAACCAATTTAATTTTTATTATTGTTATAATAATGGTTAGCACAAACAACGAATCAGATTTAACTTAAAACACAATTGTACTATTTTAATTATTTCTCATAGTTCAGAGAAGCTATTTTCTGTATCCATCTAAAAATAAAATTTTTTAGTTCGCACTACTTTTCTCCATTATTAAAAATCTAAAACTAAATAACTCAGTAAGTATAAGGCACTGAATGTACGTATGAAAACTTATGAAAGATAATTTGACTGTTATTAAAAAAAAATATACGTATAGTTAATAATAATAATAATATCAATAAAAGTACAACTGTCAGAAGAGTCACTTGACACCAAAAACTGTTGGACTTGACAATTAAAAATATGAACTTATTAAAAGTCCAATTCAGCACTTGTAGCGACTACCGGTACATTTGTCAATAAAAGGTAATTGAGCATTTGATGGTAAAAGCAGGTTGCCCAAGGTGTTCTCATCATCACCGAATACTGGAAAATGACCATACGAGCCAGCCATGCCAGCGTCGTTCAAAAAGTACACGTATGTTGTCATACTAAAATCCCCTCGTTACTTGAAAGACTGCTTTGCCATCCCCTCGAAAGAGACCGCCAGCTACCGGTCCATCCACAGCATCCCCGCTCTCCACGCCATCTCTAAGCGCGTATATGAATCTTTGTTAAGGGCAGCTCCCTCGAATCACCCCTAAAATGATGTGTACTCGTGCAAGATACTGTGTATGTACGGAAGGTGCTTAGTGTGATCCTGTCTCCCCCGTATCCATCCCCTTCCTCCCTCCTCCTTTCATTGTTTTTCCTTCCTCTCACCATTAATAATAACAAAATATTTTTTCACGTGCATTTCTTTTTAGTTTATTCGTTAGAAAATAATAAATAAAGTGTTGGTAGAACTGCACAGAAATCAAGTTGCCTTTAATAATCTGAAAACGACGGAGCCAGAAGGGGGTGGGAGACGGAGACGCGTCGCGTGCGGGGGTCCTTTTAATCGACGCGTCGCCCGTATAAAATGGCCGTGATTCGGCGCAGGATCCCTTTAGCCGAGTGTCTACTTAATTGATTAAAAAGACCAGCGGAGACGAAGACCCTTGTGAGAGGAAAAGACAACACGAGGTGGTGCGAGGGAATCATTGTTGATGACAAATGATCAAAATGAATTGAAAAAGAAGTAGCGCCGGTGCGCTTATTCAGGAAGTTTGATGCAGAAGTGGAGAGTCCTTGTTGTGAGTATACTCGATGGTTTTACAAAGGATTTTAATTTTGTTAAAATTTTTTTTTGTCAGTGATACATCATATGATACTAACGATGTAGTTTTTTTTTTATCAATGAATCTATGAACTGTTAGTAACAATAATGAAAGTTAGTAAAAATAAACGTTATTAGTACTTTTAATTTTGAGGTACAAAATAAAGTTGAAAAGTAAGATACAAGCAATACTATATTTATTTTTAGTCTAAGGCAAACTATTTTTTTCATTATTTAAATCATCAAAGAAATAATTTTATACCTTTTTTTTGTACTAGTGCTTACATATACTATTGTTAAAGATACTGTGTATTATTTTAATATTATAATAAAACTTTTTTTGATGTTTATTAGAAAAAAAATGTGATTCCAGCAAGTATATAAAAAAAATATTTACTAACTTTTAGTTGTATTCTAAATTGTTTATTAATAAATAATTTCTTATTTTCGAAAAATGATGTTTCTATTTTACTTGAGTTAATTGTTTAATAATAGTCATTTATTAAACAAGTAATAAGGCCTTCTTATAGATATTTTCTTGATAGTTTATGATAGACTTAATCTAAAAAAAAATCACACTTGATCAAAGTACATGCAATTTTAACTGAACCCCTAAATTAATCAAAATATAAAAATAGTTAACTGTAAGAGATTTGGCATCTTTTCTCAAGTTTTCTACAAAATAGTAGCAACCAACCCTTATTTTGATCTTTCTGCATATAAGTACTTACTGATTTTTTTTTCTGCTTACTACTGAATGGTAGTTTTTACTTAGAAATTTTGATAAGCTGCGTAAAACATTGCAATTTAATTTTTTGTCTTCCAGGAATATGTATTTTAAATTTCTTTGCACAAAAAAAGAAAAATGATTTTTGGAAAATAGGTCCACCACCTCATCGGTACGCGAAAAAAAATTTTATAACTTCTTGATTCTAAAAAACAACAGAAGTCTCTCATAATTTAATTAACTTGTTGCGAGTTGAAACGCCTCTATTGTATGAATTTTTTTCACTGAAAACGGTAAATTTTTTTTTGTAATATCCACAACAAGTACATCGTAATCATCACATCAACCGCAGATGAGAAAATCTTTAACTCACGCTAAAGATGAGAAAGTAGATTAAACATAAAAAAAAAAGTCATAGAGTTTGCAGAAGACAATAGCATATCTGTATTAAATTCACAGTAAGAAAAGTCATCATCCTGGTCGAGCGAAAGCGAGCCGCGGAAGGCGAGCGTTTGCGATTCAGCGCACGAGAAAGAGGCGAAGAGGAGGAGGAGGGGGAGGAATGAGGTCCTACGATGGTGAGAGCAGCTCCTGCGAGGAGGACGAGAGGAGAGAGGTGATGCCCGAGGCCCACTTGCACCAGCAAGGCCCCTGGCAGCAGCAGCACCAGCGCTCGGCCTCACATCCGACCTGGGCGTGGGAGCAACGTAGTACCGTAAGTTTCCCGGCAACAACGCGCCACGCGCGCCCATTACACGCACTTACTGAGCTCGACTGAGCGTTGCTCTTCTTCGTGTGCTCTATTGTGCTCAAAAATACCGATTGCCTGTTTTTTTTTTTTTTTTTTTTTTTTTTTTTTTTTTTTTTTTTTTTTTTTTTTTTTTTT